CTTGCAGGCTGGAACTCTGCCAACCTGCAAGGGAAAAGCCATGGTTTCCCATGTTTTTCGCCTTTAAAAGATAATCCATTTTTAAAGTTTGTTCACAACCCTTTCATGCATTCTTGCAACCCACTTTTGGGTCACAACCAACGGATTGAGAAGTGCTGTTCTATGCTTCTTGAAATGGCCTTCACAGCCATAGACTGGCTCTAAGCTAGCTGTGTTTCCTCTTGACCCTGTGCTACTCCAAGACCCTCAGCATTAAACTCTGCTGGTCATCTGAGTCTAACCAGGGGGGTTGCCCTGTGAGCCTCAGTGGTTTCCCGAATTGTTCAGTTGTATTCTGGCCAAGGTTCTTTGGGTAGAGGTGATATCTTTTATTAGAACAACTAAATAGTTGGAAAAAAGTTATTTGCCAGATTTTGGGCACAAACACCTTTCTTCAGGTACTGAGAGACTCTACTGTTGTTCAGTTGTATTCCTGCACTCATTACACTGCCGAAGAAGGCAAGGGGCCCTTGAAGACAAGGTCTGGAGTCATTCAGGTCTGAAGGTCACTACTGATGTCATTCAACCACTCTCCCTGGCATTAGCTTTCCTATATGATGGGAAATGGGGCCAGAGTACCTTAAAGAAGCTAAAGGAAGAGTTGAGAGTCTCACACGAGGGCATGGGTGACTGGTGCCTCCTGAGACCGAGGGTGCACCAGACTGCCAACAGCGGGGGGGGTGGGGTTGAGGTTCACTTCTGGTGGCACTTCCAGTTTTGCAGCTGGCGCTTCCAGGGGGTGAACGGCCAATCTCAGGGAGTGTACATGCACCTGCGGGCACCCCCTATGCATCTCCAATGCACGAGAGCCTACCTTCCAAATATCTTGTAAATGTAATTTATTCAAATTTGCAAAAAGCAGGAGCCATTACCAGTTAGCCAAGCTCTGTACCTTGTTGGTTATTTTAATCTTTCCTTGGAGGTCATTCCTCTCAGCAGCTGGATTGTTTTTCTCCAACCTACCAATATGTTTTTGTGAATGAATAAAATATTTGACCTTCTTTCATGCCTGTACCTGGAGCCTTCTAGAAAGGCACTATTCCACCTCTGCTTTAAGGCAAAAAGCATGTATATGCAGGCTCTCCATGCTTGTCATATACGACTGTCAGTGTCTGATTTGCTGTCCACACGCACTCTGAGGTTTCTTTTGGAACCATTCCTTCCCAGTTTTGTATTGCCCTGATAAGCTTTAATCATGTTGTTTTTCCTGGTTTCAAATCAGTGCTTGTCTTTCCAAGATGGACTTCTGCATTCTGAGGAAAAGTGAGTGCTACTTCCCCAGTGGCCACAAGTGTGTGCTCAGTAGCCTCTGCTTGGAGAATTGGGTTTTTGCATGGGATAGTAATTAAAAACTGTGCATCCATGTCTTTGTGAAGAGGGCTTTTTAAGGGACATTATCAAGGTCATATTTTTCCCTCTCACCATTCTTCTCTCGACAGCTGTAATGATATTAGAATTCCTATCCCAGATCAGGTCATTAGTCCATGAAGTGTCCTGAATTTGACACTTGAGCTGACTGAAATGATCTGCTAGACTTGTAAAAATTACTCAAAATCAGCATTGGCTGAAGTTGACAGCATTGTCATTGAGGCCAAAAATTTAACAAGATTCAAAGCAGAATTGGATGTTTATATGGCTAACAAGACTGGCCACAAGTTGTTACACTTAATACTAAAAAAAGATGTTTGAAAGACAACTAAAAATTCAGTCTTCGGGTCTAAAATCAATCTCTACCATATGGGGATTAAGATGAGACCTTCACAAAGGGCAGTGTACCCTCTATCTACTTATTGTGGGGATCTTTCTTCTTCCCTTGAAGCACCCAGAGTAGTCTGCTATCAAAGGTGTGGTACTAAATTATCTTGACTGATCCATTATGGTAGTTTTATGTTCTCATGGCTTGATTTTGAACTGTTTGTGAATCTCAAGCACTATCACTAATTGCAACAGTCATGTGACCTTTTCCTTTGCTTTGTTACTTTCCTGCCCAATTTGCCTGGAGATACCCAATGAAATATGGTGTCCCAGTCTCAGAGCTATCTAGAATATTAAGGTAAAGTGAAATACCTATTTGCAATGAAGAAATGGATTAATGGAAAGGGAGGAGGCCTCTGTGGTTCACCAGAAATAAAAAATCCTTTAAATCAGTGGAGGTCAACCTTTTTGGTAGGCATGCTACAAATTAGCCTAAACCCCTCCCTGAGTGTTACTGTGATACTTTTGCCCTGCCTGATCTGCTGCTCTGCTTTCTGTTCCCTACCCTTTCTGCTCCCTACCCTTTCTGCCCCTCTGCTACTTGTTCTCTTCTGCCATGTACCACATACAGAGGCTACTTGTGCTATTTGTGATACTCATGCAGTAGGTTGGCCACCCCTATTCTAAACCAAAGTGTAGATTGCGTTCAAATTCTCAGAGCACCAGGATAGAGTTATAATAGACCAGCTTGATAAACAGTTTAATATCCAAGACACTCACCACCCTGTGACTGTGTCTTGCACTTGTAAGGGAGTGGTTTTGATCCAAGGGCCCTTGCACCACTGATTTCTCCTTTCGTTCAGAAGACGACAGAAATCTTCCAAAAAGCACAGGTTCAATTTCCTTTCAATGGTATGTAGGAGGGAAAACAGATTTCCACTGAACCCTGCAAGCAATCAGCCAATGTCATGAATTATGAGGCTGAAATAAAGTTATCTGTGCTGCAGAGCCATTGATATTATTGATGGTCACAAAGTTATCCAGATTTTTAAAAATCCAGGCACGTTATTTGACTCTTTGGCTCTCTGTGGTAATGAGTTCTACAAATGGACAATTCCCTGCATAAATATTTCCTTTTTGTTTGCTTTACATTCACTGCCTCTTAATTTCAAATAGTTTTTGTACTAGGGATCTGGGAGGGGGAAGAGGAAGAAGAACCTTTACAGGTTTCTCAATATATTTGTTTTTTCTGAGACACAGCTTTCTCTTTCCTAAACTAAGCAATCCCTAGGTTTTTTTTTTAATATTTGAATTCAATCTTGTAAACTAGTGGTACACAATCTTTTGGCCCTGCTAGAAAATTGAGTGGCCCAGGCCCCTGAGACCCAGCGTCGCCCCCCGACCAGCCCTGTGTGCTAGGATGGTATGTTGAATCCAGTGTGCAGGACCCGGGGCTTCTCGTGGGCCTAGAGATCTTGCAGCAGGGGAACAGTGCCATCGTTCCCCTGCTACCAAATTGTTGGACCTGTGGTGAGTCGCTTGGGCTGGATGACATGGCACTGAGGGCTAGATCTGGCCTGAGAGCCAGAGGCTGAACATCCCTGTTGTAAACAATTATATATGTAAATATATACTGTCACATGAAGCTCCATTGCACCATTCATGGTAATAACAATTTGCAAGACGGACCTCAATATTTATACATGCACTTTCTCTGGGTATTTCCCTCTTTGTTTGGGCTTCCTTGAATTGAGGTAACTAAAGTTGAACACAGACATTTGATTCCACTAAATTATAATACCTACTTCTATTTTGATGTTTTTGGCACTGTTGTCCTTTTAGAAGCAAACCAACAAGCAAAAATATTCAAAGGAACAAAAATCAATCACAGCTTACTTGGCATCCTACAACAGAACCAAAACTTCTAGTGCTGACGATGTCATTCCCACTGCATGGGTTATAGATCGATAGATCGATCTGTCTTTTAGGGCTGGTTCAAAAATGGAGATTTGGTAGAACTGGAACGTTTCATGGTAACATAGACTAGATTCCATGGAGATGTAATGAAACCTGCCTTTCTTTGTAGCACTCAACCTCCTTAACAGCCTGTGTTGTGGAGTGCCTAGAAGTGTAGGCTGCCTGGGTAACCATATTTTATAGCTCCTTGGGTTTCCAGGCTGTTCTGCAGTAGGAGCCAGGCTACCCCAAGAGT